TTAAGATGAAGAGATCCTTTAATCGTCCCGCAGTGGGGAAATTTCAGTGTTGCATCACAAGTTACAGAACAGTAGGAGCACACAGCACAAGATGAACAAATAAAAACCATACCAAATATAATAACATCTCCTAAAATAGGAATTATTTTGACCAATGAGGTGATATTGGATTATTTTCAAAGGTACACCAAGCAACACCTCAAAAACACTGACATGCCAGGGCACATAAGAAAACGCTGATCTAATCTCCCATGCCCCTGGTAAATGTATATTTAACCCAGAGCTAAAATTAACCACACGTTCTCCGATGCTATTTTTAGCCCTGAAGCTGTGTTCTATGCCTCTTATATTACCTCAGCCCGGTGACGCAATGCTATCTGGGATTAGTGCCAGTTAGCGATACAAAAAGAAAAAAGCAATAGACTACATATTAAAGGGTCAAAAGAATGCTCCAGTTAATTAAGTGACCATGTCAACAAAATCATATAAGAGGAATCCAAAAACTTGCTAAAAAGACGGGTTAGTTCCCAACAGTAGGTCATTCATTCGTACATTTTGGTATTGTAAATTGATTTTGTTTGTTATTCAATACTTAAATACTGAGAATATGTTGCTGCAGTTATTACTTGAAGTGAAAGAAAGCAGTCTCATGTATAATCATGTATAAATAATAAAAAATAAAAACCACCAGAAATGATCAATCTGTACGTTTCTCTGTATTCAGTAAACACAGAAGTATTAAATAAACACAGCATGGGAATGTCCAGGCATCCTCCGCTCAGAAGGAAGACGGCTCCCAGAGATGTTTGCTGAAGCTGATAAGAGTGTTTCATCATCCAATGTACCTAACTGTACACAATAAAACATAAAAAGTCCGATTTTAAATTAGGTTGGAGCAACTGGAGGACATTCTGGTAGTATTTTTAGACAAGAATTTAACTACATTTGAGATGTTCTGTTTTGACGCTTTTTTGTTTTATTTGAATTAATCTCAGCTCTGACACTGGAGTTTGTAGTTAGAGCAGCTAACACGAATCTATTCTTTAAATAGTTGCTGACTATTGAGAAGATTTTTTTTTACCAAACTCCAAATAAAAATAAATTTAAAAAAAGTTCAATATCGCATTTTGGAGAAGTGAATGAAAATAAAGCCGAGTTGTTTGGCCATGTTGGTTTAAATGTAATTTGTAACAAAAACAGGGCAGATTTTAGCCCGACCTTTTCTGAAGCACGGGGCGTCAAAAAGAGTGGAAATAGATCTTTCAAATTGATGCTGACCCCAGTTACAAAGAGACTGAACTTGGTCTATCACAGGAACTATCGTGAGAAGCTTCCACAAGTTTCTCACGATAGTTCCTGTGACAATCTACCACGTCTGTACAAGTCTGAATATGTAGACAATAAAAAGCTGGCCACATGACATTATGGTATCAACCAAAACTTTTTTTATTTTTTTATTTAACCTAAAACATTAATGTTGTCACATTTTTGTTGTTTGCACACTGTCTGCAAGATCCCACTTTCCACTGTAGTAATAAGTCTTTTATTTATGCTTTTATGTATTTGGCTCGCAGCCTTTTATCTATTTGAAACAATAACGTATCATTTCATTTGGATCAGGCCTTCTCTGTCGCTGGCCCCAGACTCTGCACCATCACAGACTTTGGTCTTTTTAAATCTAGACTGAAAATGTAATTCTTCAGACTGGCTTCTACCACACAGAAATGCAGTCGCCTTTTAGAACCGTGAAAGTGTTTAAAGCGCTATTTGAGGACTTTGGTCTGTAAAATGTGCCATATATATAAAGATGACTTATGCCTCTATTTGGTCACTTACTGTATGTGTTGTAAAAGGATTTCTAAACAACAACCTGGATTATTGGTGAAATACTAATGGCTTATGAAATGAAAATCTGGATAAATCCGGACAATGAGTGGGAAAGTTTGGCGTCCTAGGATCAAATGTCAGAACAATGAAGCCAGAGAAAAGAGCATAGAGTTACGGATCAGACATTTTCCCAGCTTTTATAGCATTTTTAAAGATTATAAAAGGAACAGTGCGGCGAGGGAAAGAGGGGACGTCCAATAGGCAAACTTTTGCTCTTGCCTTTTTTCTGTGATATTCTTTGTGTAAAGTCTATGAGACACTAAGCCTTTTTTCTGTGTTTGCACAGATGAGTGGCTTCCAAACGTTCACACTTACCCATATTATAAACACTTACTTCAGCAACAAGGATTTTTCAAGGATTTCATGTTGACATAATGTAAAATATTGGGGTCTAAAAAGTGAATTCCTGTAAATAGAAATGATGGAGTGCTGGCGTTTGTGCTATAAGAAAAGTGTAGAACATGTTGAATGTGTACTTGTACTGAACCAATGTGACGGAGGCAACAAGTCACCTTAGTGTTTTTACTGATGTTGTTTTTTCCTCTTATAAGTACTTTACTTACTGATTATTTTTCTGAAAACGTTGTACTTTTAAACCCAAACCTCTGTACTTTCTACTCCTTTAAGGAAATTGTCATTAGTTGCGTTAATTGATGAATCATTACTGCCCATGCATGATGCATGTTACCTTTTACTTGTTTCCCACTGGGTTCTTCTTATGAGTTTTTCCTTGCCGATGCAGGAGGGTCTGTTGTTAGTGTCCAACAAAAAGACTGTGGTGATGATCCAGGACACTTAAACATTCTACAACATGTATGGACTTTTTTTTTTTTTTTCTTGTTCTATATTCTTTTTGTGTTTTAACTGTTGATTCTCTGATCTGTGTTGGTGATTTCAATGGTTTTGTTAAGTCCTCTCAGAGGACTTAACAAAACCATTGAAACTTCTGTTGTGATTTAGGGCTATACAAGAATAAATTGTATTGTATTGTATTTTACTTATTCAATGCTAAATAACTACATTCATGCACGTATTTGAAATATTTCATGGGGTGGGGGTCTCCACGTTTTTACTTATTTCCTAATCCATTTTGAGCAGACAAATTGTAAATGGAAATGCATTTGTACATACAAATACAAAATTGTAATTATAGTGAAAGTAGGGAAAATACTGTTGCTTGTTTGTATATTTATATATTTGCATGTGTAAGTATATACTGTACTGTAAGACACTAGGCAACATGTACAAACGGGCACGTAAACTAAGGAAGGTAAATATTGTAGATTTTCTGCTCGAATTAATAAAATCAATCAATCGTTCAATCACTTACACACAAACCTTCAGTACTTACCTTTTGGTCTTTCACTTCAGTGAGGGAATGATTACAGGATTTATACTTTTATCAGAGCCAATATTAATAAGTACTTTTGTCAACACCGCAATGAAACGATAACAGCTGTGAGCCCGGTTCCACATGCAAAAGATGGTCTCTCTCTCTCTTTTTCTCTCTCCTTTTCTCCCCCCCTCGCTCTCTGTCCCCGTCCCCCTCTCTCCCTCTGTCTCCCCCTCTCTCTCCCTCTCTCGCTGTCTGTCTGTCTCTCTCTCTCTCTTTCTCCCTCTGTCTCCCTCTCTCTCTCCCTCTCTATCCTCTCTTTCTCTCTCTCTCCCTCTCTCCGTCTCTCTCCCTCTCTCCGTCTCTCTCCCTCTCTCTCGCTCTCCCTCTCTCTCTCTGTCTGTCTTTCTGTCTCTCTCTCTCTCTGTCTCTCTCTCTCTTTCTCTCTCTGTCTATCTCTCTCTTTCCCCTCTCTCCCTCTGCCCCCCCCCCTCTCCCCCTCTCTGTCTCCCCCCCCTCTCTCTCTCTCCACCTCTCTCTCTCTCTCCCTCTCTCGCTGTCTGTCTCTCTCTCTCTCTGTCTCCCTCTCCCTCTGTCTCCCTTTCTCTCTCTTCCTCTCTCTCCCTCTCCCTCTGTCTCCCTCTCTCTGTCTGTCTCTCTGTCTGTCTGTCTCTCTCTCTGTCTCCCTCTCTTTCTCTCTCTGTCTCTCTCTCTGTCTCCCTCTCTCTCTGTCTCTCTCTCTCTGTCTCCCTCTCTCTTTCTCTCTCTCTCTCTCTGTCTGTCTCCCTCTCTCTCTGTCTCCCTCTCTCGTCCTCTCTCTGTCCCCCTCTGCCCCCCCCCTCTCTCTCTCCCTCTCTCACTGTCTGTCTCTCTCTCCTCTGTCTCCCTCTCTCTCTGTCTCCCTCTCTCTCTCTTTCTCCCTCTCTCTTCCTCTCTCTCTCTGTCTCCCTCTCTCTCTCTCTCTTTCTCCCCTCTCTCTTCCTCTCTCTCCCCTCTCTCACTGTCTGTCTCTCTCTCTCACTGTCTCCCTCTCTCTTTTTCTCCTTCTCTCTTCCTCTCTCTCTCTCTGTCTCCCTCTCTCTCTTTCTCCCTCTCTCTCCCTCTCTCCCTCTCTCCCTGTCACACACACGCAGTGACGCCACCTCGGAGTCTTTTCCCTCGGGCGCAGGTGGGCGTGCGTGTGCGCGTGTGCCCGGGCCAGGCGCGCTCTTTTGAAAGGAACTTCTGGTTTTCCATTTCCTTGTGTTGACGACGTTTTTTCCCGAGCGCTGTAATAAATAGAGCAGCATGGTGCACAGAGAGCAGAGGGGCAGAGCCGCGGACAGACGCTGACAGGGATGGCACTCCGACAGGTGAGCGGCTCCACACACTGACCACTGCTGCCTACACTCAACAGGCTCTGATGGACTAGAAACACAATAACAATAATAATCTCATTCTTACTGTTATTATTACTACCTTTTTTATCTATTTTTTTTTTTTTTTTTTACACATTACGGTTTTTTTTTAGACATGACAAGCACTTTAAAGCTTTTTTGGGCAACATTTTGTGATCAACAACATTCTGTATTTATCTCATTAGAAAACATTATATCTTTACTGAGAGCTGAGTGAAGGAGAGTACTGTCCCTGTCACGGATAAATCTGATGAAGATGTTACCTGTTCTGAGAGCGAGGAACTGCATAGAGTTTATTACATTATAGTTGTTTCACAGATAGGTTCCCCAGGACTTTAAAGGCTGACGTTGGCTTTCTCTACATTTTGCAGGTCTTTGTATTTATGCTGAGCATCGCAGTGGCTGCCTCTGCACATCCTTGCTTTGATGAAAACGACTTGGAGGATGCAGCCAGGGTGAAGCTCAACAACCATTTATCCCAGACTGGTTTTCCCATGCAGGCCTCAGATGTGCCCATCAAGTGCCCCGTTGATCTGTACAAGACAGGCAGTGATCTGATGGGCCGCTCCATATCCCCGTGGGCCATTGTGTAAGTCCCCTCATAACAGGTCTATTTAGTGATACACAATAGATACAGCCTCTTTAACTTCTGTCATGAAGACAATATTGCTTAGGCCTGAGCATGTAGCAGAGGTAATAATGTAACTAAATAATCTTTGCTAAGGTGATGTCATGTAATAACAAGCTGACTTCCACAAATCAAAGTAGAATTTAGTAATTGCTCCTTAACTGGTTTACAAAGTAAACAGAAGAAACAAGTATTGTAACAACTCAAGTAATCCACACCCTCTGAAATAGGGACAATCCCAGTTCTGGCAACTCAGGCTGCTATGAATAATAATAAAGGAACAGTTTGAATTTTGTTGACACATGATCACAAAACATGCTCAGCCTCCGTAGAAAGCAGAAGTTGAAGCCCTAAGCCTGTACTTTCTGTTGTACCACATTCTTTTTTATGACTGAAAAAATGATATTATGTCTGTATCACACATAACCACATTTTTATATTCTAGACTGAGTGTTGATTAATCATCATTATCATTGTTTGTTTAGGGAACGAAAGATGCCTGGGCACTTCCCGTCCACTTACTATGAGGCCGAGTGTCTGTGTCAAGGCTGCATTCTTCCAGACGAAGATGGAGAACCGCATGAAACAACTTGTTACAACTCTCGTCCGGTGAATCAGACTCGCATTTTTCCTGAAGAGGGAGCTGTGTGAGCATTCCGGAGGAGAGAGAAGATACCATCTGAGACGTGTCAATGTGGACGTGACTGTTGCCTGCATCTGTGTGCGCCCAAAAGTAGTGTACGCAGAGTAGTGTAGCTATTGCACTACATTTGATCTGAAGTTTTCTAATGCACAGTTCTCAATCATGTTCTTGCTCTGCCAGTGTCAGCTTCCACAGGTCATGCAGACGCAATACTATAACTGCCTCCATTTGTTACACTATTCTCCACAATGCCATGACATCTGGACACCTGGAGCAAACGGAGCTTTAAATGACAGCCTATTATTACAGGATAATTGTGATGCGGTTTGTAGATCCTAAATGTTTTCACATTGAAAACAGTGTCAATGAATATCTCACTTTTATTTATAACTATTTATTTATATTTTTTGTAATCCTTGTTATATTCTGTGTGCAGTTGAGCTTCTATGAAGCCAAATAAAATATATTTTACTTTTAAATTGATTCAACATGTTTTTTTCCCACAAAGCCTTCTAACTTCCTAAGCTGGACTCAAAGGGCCACATGAGGCTGAGTCGATCCCAGTCACTATGGCACTAGAATGTGCACCAGGTCCTGAGCAGACAGGCTGAAGTATCACTTATACAGGGGAAATGTATTTATAACTCCGTGTATTATATACTGAAAAACAGTATATACAGATATTTTGAAAATCAGAATCATTTTTATTGCCACGTAAGTAACAAAAGTCACCACTTGGAAATTGCTTTGGCATAATGTGAAATAAGGCCTGTTGCTACTTAAGTGGGTCACGTTACTAAACCCAATACATTTCACACTGAGTTTAGGTTAATCAATCTTCTCTTTGAGTAAAACTGATGAAGCAGGTGCAGCTCTGCATCAGGGCGGGGATATTTGGCAGTTTTATATGCAAGAACACTATATATATTAAGTATTGCATATTTAAAAAGACATCACTTCATAAATTACAGAAGAGGTGTTGCTCATTCTTGTACCGTTGCGTCTGACCCTGCAGTATTCCTAAGTGTGGAGAACTAAAAGTGATGTTTGTAGTCACTATTTGACCTCATCGATCACTGAAGTGTACTTGTTTCTGAATGCGTTTTGTTGCAGAGGGGCAGTCCGCTCTGTGAGAGTTTGTTCCATATCTTTGCCCGAAGCTGTTCTTATTCAGTCTGATAATTGCTGCTTGGAATAAAAAACCCTTGATATAGTGCAAGAAAATCATGTAAACCAAAAACAGCAAGTGAAAAAAAAGAATTTATTTTAACAAGCAAAATTACTACGTTTGTCAAGAAATTAAGATTATGTGGCAAACTTTTTCTGCCTGACAGGAGCCGGCAGTTGAGACAAAATATCCAACAGGGGGCGCTCCACTATCACCAAAGACTCGTCCTCTTGAAAGCTCACACTCAGGACATCCTTTGGACAAATATTTTATTAAAATACATTAAATAGAAATGAAATAAGTCTATAATATAAGAGTGTAACAGTTTACCTGAAACCGTTTACATATCTTAAAGGCGTGGCTGTGTTGGACTCTTTCAGATTCCGGGAGCCCCCTGAGAGTATTCTGATTGCAAAGCCTTGTTTTGTGGTCTGGAAGAGGCTAAATTCAAAAGACAAAAAGTCTATAAACTAGTACACACGTCACCCCATTACCCCAACCATGTGATACATACCAAGCTCTGGTCTATGATGCATAACATGTAAGCGTCATTCAGGAGGATGTGGCTGGGCTTTTGAGGGTTAAATGAGATGTGGCTGATCGGCGTGTCCCGCTCAAACCAATGCGGGTGCAAGCCTTGTTTCTGCAACTTTCTGCTCCACGTCAGTGTGTACTCCTTCTGTCCCAGAGAATATTCAAACACCTGGGACACAGCATAAAAGAAGGAAGGTGAAAGCTTTATAAGTGCAAGACACACTGGTCACTTTCAGTACTATTTCTACAGTTAATTCCATGTTGTAAACTGGTGCCTAAAGGGTTGAAAATTATTATGAAAAAACAAAACAACAAACCTGCTTGTCTGCATGTCCTATCACAAGGTTGCTGGACATGGGATGAATGGCAATTGCAGTGGGAGAAGAGTCATAAACCGGGACTGTGCAGTGAAGCTAAAAAAAACAACATTTGATATGTTTTAAACCGCTTCACATTCTACAAAGGGGTGCAAAATGTTACGTCTGGTTCTCTGGTATACACTACACCTTTAGCTTCTTGAGGTTGTACACATGGACCTCATTATCCGTGTTGGCTGTTGCAAGCCATTTCCCATCCTCACTCGGAGCCAAGAGATGGACTGGTTGCTGGGAGCCTGGATTACGTAATGGAAAGTAGCAAAACATGTAAATAGATTGACAGAGGGCTTGTCAAGTACGTTTTTTTCCTATGCAACCTGTATGCAGAAATATACATGGAAATGTTTTTGTTGATTTATTCCACAATTTGCGAAACATTATTTTGAGTATTATTGTTGACCTTGGTGATGCTTATGTTGTTTCCACTTTGTTGCAATCTGTAAAGTCGAACACAGGAGACTGTGGAGTAAGCCAGCCAGGTTCCACAGGGAGACAGAGCACTGCAGCTGATGTGATCCTCACCCTACAGACACCACATGTAAGAATGTTGACTTTATATATCATCTGTAACAGCAATAAAGACTACATGCATCTCCATAAATAGGCAAAATAACTAATCCTCACCCACCTTTCGCTTTAAGTGAATTAGCTTCTCTGGTTTTCTCTTGACCGATAGGCGATCTCCGTCTTTTCCTAACGAGGGCGAGGAATACAATGAACAAGACAAATCGGTGCTTTTGATCCAATGTTTGCGTTACCAAAGTCTTACCATATCCCTCACTTTCTCCAAGCCTCCAAACCTCAAGATGGCCCGGAAACTGAAAGAGCAGCAATCCAGCTTTCTTTGCACAACTAACCAAGCTTTTCTACAAGGAGTGAAGGGGTTAGCAAAACATACTACACAGTGGTATGTGTGTCATGTAGTAAAGGAGATCATAAACTTACAAGGGGGAAAATTATCTTGCGCAATTCTGACTCTGAGGTGTTTTTTTCAACTTTATCCAGCAAAGGACGCACGACCAACTGAGTGTCCATACCTAAATGTTTAAACATTTAGATACAATCAATGCCACTGAATATACTTTTGATCTTTTTATATAGAAAATACACATACCTCCAGATACAACTGCTGTATCAGTTAAGACCAGGGCGTGGACATCATGAGAGTGGTTCTTAAAAGTCCTTGTTCTGACCCACTGTCTGTCCTGCTGCTCTCCAGATGACTGGAGGAACTGGAACTGGACCACCAGACCTTCTGACGTTCCAGCAATTAAACTGCTCTCATCCTGAACAAAGCAAACATATCAGACAAACTATAACTTTGCCCGTCAATGGTTTTACTGCCAAAAACGATATATTACTGTGTTGGGAAGTAACATGAATGTACATACTGGGAGTACCATTTTGAGTAACTCAGAATACAATTATGAGGAACAAAAAATAAAGGAATACATTGCATTTGATTGTGCAAAGATCTAACACAAAATTTAATGTATACGAGAATTCCTTTTCTGATCAATGGTCTCCATTGGAATCTATTATCGCATTACTGTAATATGATGTAACTCAGCAGAAATACATTCGCATTTAAAAAGTAAATGCGCTACAAAACAGATTTAAGTTTTATATAACTGGATTTATTTTAGTATTCTCCCCAACACTGGATGTAGATGGAATTAGATACTTACAGAAGCAACAGACAATGCAAGGACATCCCATTTAGTGATGAAGTGACTCCGCACCAGTGTTCCCATGAGTCCATCCCAGATCTGAACTTTTCCTGCTGAGTCCCCGCTGACAATGGTGTTATCAGACAGAAAAGCCAGGCTCCATACAACGACCTCCTTGTTTTTAGCGGCACCTACACCCCTCTCAACCAGCAGTCTAAGTGCAGCACGGCCTTAAGTAAAAAACAAAATATATTATGTTAATTATCCAATCCCATATTCTATCATACATTTATGCTTAGTACCACATGTGTGCAACTAACCTGTTTCAGCATCAAAAACTCTGACCATATCCATCATACCGGCAGCAATCTTTGTCCCAGATGGATGCCAACTCACAGAAATTATACGACCTAAAAATTTGAGGTATTATAAATGTGCAAATATCAACTATTAAAGCAAAGATCTATTCATTTATTTTTGTATACAAACAAACTAGGGAGATAGAGGAATTGTAAAGAAGATTATTGAATCTATTCATTAAGTGGTATTGATTGATTGTATTGTCATCTAGTTACCTTTCTGTCTGTCCAGATTTCTTTGAAACTGAATTCCATCATCCAATACTTCAAAGATTTTGACAGTCCCATCTTCACAACCAACCTGAAACAAACGTCACTTTAAAGTACTTGTTACGTTGTAAAAGGAGGTGCATGCTCTCCAACTCACTGCAAGTAGGTTCCCCTGGAGGTTACAGCTGATGCTCCAGACCGGTCCACCATAAGCCTCCACAGCGTACTTAGGTCTCAAGTTTTCCAAGTCATACTCCGTGATCAATCCATCCAAACCAACACTAAAGAGCCGTGTTCCCACCCAGCACAGAGCCTCTATGGACCGCCCGTCTCGTCCTGGAAATATCTGATACACAAGTGTTATGATGAATGTCGTGACAATGTTATATTGAACAAATGATGAGGACTTTTGATTGTTCTACAATGGGAAAAAATAGTTTTACAATGCACATACATTTAAACGCAAACCATTGTAGTAGTGAATCATAACAATATAATTTGGCTCCAATTAAATCACAATAACGACTGGTTCTTTGTTATTACCTTTTCTTGACAGTAGTTATCAGAGAAGTTGAAGATCTCCAAAGACCCTTGGTCTCGGGCCACGGCCAGCCTTTCAGTGTCTCGGTTAAACGCTAAAGCTCTGATCCCACTGGGCATGTAGTCAAAGAAGCGGACTCTGTGCACCTTAAACTCACCCATCTTTATCAAGCCCAAATGTATGCGTAGTCAATCTCAACTAAAGCGGAAAATGACATAAGTCGCGTTTTAAATGATCCCGGATAAGGCGATTTCTTTCCTTCACCTTAATCAATGTTCCACGTGTGCTTATACCTTGACAACATGACTAACTAAGCATCAGTCTATGCGAACTATATCTCTACTTGTTATATCTTAAACACGGTTAATTTTACTTGTTTAAAGTAGTTTTCCCAAAGATAAGTTCCGCACACACGCGACAAAACATCACGGGAGCCACGTTGAGGACCTCTAATCCGGAAGAGAAAGCTCGTGCACAGCGGAAGTATGGGAGGCTTTTTTTCCCCATCGCATCTTACACCAGGTCATTTTATTTGCATTTCGTGGAATGTCGTGGTAAAACATATGAATTATTGACCATACATTATTTTAGAATTATTGTTAGGTACATTTATTGCAAACGTTAAATTGTTTTTTTGGAAATAAGTTGTTTCTTTTCTTCATTTTTACAGTAATGCTGGAGGGAATAATAACGCATTCTCCAAAACAAGCGAATGAGCGCGCGAAGCGAAAGTAGGATCAGAGTATTTTGGAGGCACCTAATTTGATCATTATTCTGAATAAAACACTTGGTATATACCTGGAAAAGACTTGCTATCCAAGAGAAAATGGTGC